TTTATAGCTCCTTGTGAGCCTACTGAATGTCCTTTTGAGTCATGCTGTTTTCCTTTTATCCCTAGGTTATTAAAATCTTCACACAGTTTGTGTGGGTGAATCTTGAAATTTTATGCTCTGTGCCATTGTCTCTACCAAGCCAGAGTTGCCCCGGTCCCTCGCATGGCACGCTAGGGTGTAACTAACATGAAGTGCACTTCTGGCTCTTTCCTTAGGACACACTTCCCAAAGTGGGACTGCTGAGTCACAGAGGTCATGGGCTGGTTAGCTTCTGCTCTAAGACAAGTTTAACTTACAGCTCTGGAGGTCAGACTTCCAACATAGGTCTCACTGGGTTAAAATGAAAGTGTCAGTAGGCCTGGTTCCTCCTGGAAGCTCTAGGGGACTGTGGTACAGTAACTTCCGTAATATGGCCCTTCTAGCCTTAGTCTTGTGATTTCCACTTGGACTATGTAAATAAGGTATTTGTGGCCCATCAAAGAGATTAGAAAGCCTGGTAACAATGCAAATAAGGTATAAAGAACCTTAAGGAGGGAATGAATTTGTTTTACCACCTCCCTAGGCTTAAAATGAATTCATCCCAGAAGCAGAGTGGGGGGAACCTCATTACCATCAAGAAAGAAGAGCCAGGAGCAGAGTGCTTCCTTTGGACCCAGGGTTCCTGTTTTGACAACCACCTAGACCCAGGAGACAGACAGCTGTGACACTGGAGGTGTGAGGTGGGGACAAGCAGCAGCAGGGAAATAGTAGCAACAGAACCAAGAGATGGTGCAGTGGGCTTCCTGGCCCATGAAGCAAGTCGGCTTCAGACACAGGGAGCAAGAGAGCTGAGTGCCTTCAGGCAGCAGTCTTACCGGCTGAATGGGGGCCTCGGACACTTGGTAGAGGTAGGTTCCCTTATCCACGGAGTGAAAGAGCTGAGTGCCTTCTGGCCTTAGGGTTGTTGGCATAAGGAGGTGCTTCCAGGCACTTCTAAAGGGCTGTACAACTCTTGCCTGATTTGCATGGCGGACAAGTTGCCCTGACTAAACGAAGCATTGCGTCCTGACTTGTTTCTAATCCTGAATTGTATTACTTCCTTAATAACCCCATAATCCTGAGTATGGTCGAGAGTTGCGTCTGCCCAGTGCAATGAAGTATTGAACACAGCAAAGAAACAGTGTTGGGGGTGAGACAGCTGGTGTCAGAATTGGTAAAAAAGGTTGGAGAGGAGGTATATCTGACATCCACCTCATAGGAATCAGCTTTGGACTGTTGATGGTGACTGTCCTTCCCCTTGTGAAGTTGGAGGTCAGATGCCCCCACGATGCCATTTTTATAGGGAGAATCCATTCCTTTGCCTTTTCCATCTCGAAAGCTAGCAATGGCCAGTCAGTTCTTTCTCACACTGCACCACTGATTGTCTCTCCTGCTTCTCTCTTCCACTTCAGGACACTTATGATTGCACTGGGCTCCCCTGGATAATTTTGAGTCATCTATTCATCCTAGAGTCAGCTGATCAGGCTTTTTTTTTTTTTTTTTTTTTATGGATATGATGAAAGTGCCTTAGAGAAAGATCGGGACAGGCCACTTTCCTCCAGAAGGGTTCCTAACAGCCATATCTACATGTCCTCCCTTCACTAGAAGCCATGGAAATGGGAATTAAAGTAGCTGGGAGCGCTCCCTTTGGCAGCACATACACTAAAACTGAAATCAGAGATTAGCATGTCTCCTGCACAAAGATCAGGCGTAAAGTTCTAAAGTGGCCGCAAGTTGTGACTCCACCTAAAAAGGGGGCAGAAAACTGAGAGAGTAAGACCTGTTGCTGCATTACCAGCAGGACTGTGACCTACTGTAACCTGTTGCTGCATTACCAGCAGGACTGTGCCCTACTGTACCCTTTCAGAAAGCACACTGGCAGTTCCTGTTAATATTTTTAAATTAAGTGACCCTTCGACCCAGCAACACAAATTCTTGGGCTTTATCCTAAGAAAATGTATTAAAAAAAAAAAAAAAAAGCTATGTGTTGGGGATGCTTACTGTGTAGTATTTCTTATGGCAGCCCTAGGAAACTAAGCACTTGCTAAGTAATCTGCCTGAATGGATTTATCTGCCCACATCCCAGATGCTGGTTTTGTCTGCTGGTAGGAAGTACAGTGAGAGGGCCTCATTAGGCAGGGCTTGGAACTGGGCACCCCTAGAACACAGCATTCCTTCCAAGGGCAATTTAATGCCCACTCACAGCACAATATACAAGTGCAGTGGAGACATCTGAACTCAGACTGGCCCAAAGAAGCGGGGACACGGAGGATAGTCACACAAAGTGACTGGAGGACTGGGCCACTGTGGCCACTGCTGTTTCATCCATGCACTTCAAGCTCCCTTCGGGGTGGTCTCTGTTCCAGCAGGAACAAGGACCTATGGTGTGTAGATGGAGCCTGGGTGGCTCAATGGCTTAAGCACTCAACTACTAACCAAAACGTGATTCAAACCCACCAGCCGCCCTGTGGAATAAAGATGTGGTAGTTGATCCACTGAGCTCTGGGCCGTGCCCTGCCAACGGTCACCGCCAAAGACAAGATTTCTCATAACGACAGCCAAGCTGAAGGGACCAGAGAGGATGCAAGTGGGAGTGACCTGGCAGAGCCTCAGTTCCGCTGGGACCCACGTAACTCGGCCCCCTGGGGACTTCAGCGCAGTCCTACTGTGCCACTGTTGTGTTTAACATCATCGCCTTCACCGCGCTGCTTGCACGACCCGGCCAGGGCCGACTCCCCCGCATCGAGCTTGTGGACCGCCGTACTCGCTGCACTTTCCTGCCACGAACGTATCTGCGCATGACGCCCGCCTACAGTTCCCACAATGCCTTCGGGCCTGTCAGCCAGCAGAGACTACATTTTCTGGGAGCCTTAGCGTCAGCTATACGGCGCTCCAGGAGGTCTGGTGGTGGTGGTGGTGGTGTTATGTGCCATCGAGTCAGACTCGACTCATAGCGACCCCTCCTTGGGTTTCCGAGGCGGTATCACTACAGAAGTAGATTGCCCCATCTTCCTTCTGAGGAGTGGCTGGTGGGTTTGAACCGCCAGCCTTCTGGTTAGCAGTCA